CTATTTATAATTCAACAAATGCTTTTCTTGCTCATTAAATTCGAGGTTGTTGTCGCAATGATAATATTTACTAGTACAGTATACGGCTTTTCTAATTAATTTTTATTATTTTTTGATTTAAAAAAGTCGAAATTTTACCACTTTTATTAATCCAACTTGGTAATTTTTGCCTTTATTCTAAAATTTGTGTTGAATCGATGATCTAATAATATAATCGTCGCATATTAATATATATATGTAGAAATATATTTTTGATCTAAAAATGGCAAATCTGTGTCACATTTTTCATAATATAAATAAATTTTTTTTTTTGAAAAATTTTTTTTTAATAATACATTAATAAAAATAGTATAAAGATTTTTTTAACAATGATTGCAAATGAAGATGATATAGCCACTCCAGGTAATATATACACTTATATTGGTAGAGATTTACTTTATATTAATATTAATTGATTCTTATTGTTCATTCTTCGATTAAGTGATGATTGCAACTCAAAAAGAAATGAGTGAAGCAGGACTTCCATTAGAATGGAGAGATTATTGTGCACATTTAGCATTACGTTTAAATAAATGTAGAAATTCTACTTGGTTTTTACCATGGAAATGTCAAGATGAAAGACATACATATGAAAAATGTCAATACGAAGAGTATGTTATATCTATCAACCATATAAAAACCTACTTAATATTTGGATTTTGCAATTAATGAATTTGTATTTATTTGTTTGTTTATATATATTTATGCGCACACTATTACTACTGCTACTAAAAGTTATGTTCGTCGAATGAAAATTCTTGAAAAGATGAAGGAAGAAGAAAATAAAAAAGACTAATTTAATTGAGAATAAACAAACATATAATAATTTTTCACACGGCAAAAGATTGTATTAATCAGCTGACATGCATAATATATCTTTCAACTAGAACTCCCCAAGTATTGCATAGTAATACGGTCAAATCTTGTCACAGCGGTCCTCGCCACAGCGGATTATAATCATTACGGATTTTTAAAATTTTGTTTCATTAATATTAATATTAATATAAAAACATATAAAATCCGTTGCAGCAATACTAGTAATCTTTCCACAATGGATTTTAAATAAAATTTTCTTATGTCCCGTTCATCCGCTGTGACAAGGTTCGACTGTAGTAATAGTGATAATAATAATAATAAAATCAATTTCGACCCCAACTCGATATGCCCCCTGAATACGATGATTTGGATATAACTGCGCCTAATGAAGGTTGTAGCTTATTCAGTATTTGTAATACACTTTTTTTACCTTTAATCTTACAAATATTAATAATGAGTGAAACTGATTGGGACAACATTACAGTTATTCGTAAACGTTCAGATCAAGCAAAGGTTGCCAAAGGAGATTCTAATATTAATGCAGCTAGACGTGCAGGTGCTGTAGTAGGTGTAGAACGGAAGGGTAGGTTTCTCTTTATGGAGAGAACTAAGGATTGGAAAAAACATGTACATTTAAATTCATATGTATTAATTTACATTTATATTTTTAGTCGCAGGTGGAACTAATAGAAGTCATTCAAATACTGAACATCAAAAAATAGCTAAACTTGATCGTGACAATGAGGTCGCACCACCTCCAAAGCTAAGCTTAACAGTTGGTAAGGCAATTCAACAAGCCAGGCAAGCCAAAGGATTAACACAAAAAGAACTTGGACAAAAAGTCAACGAAAAGGCTAATGTTGTAAGTATAATGCATTATATTATATATTATGAATTACACACACACACACACACACATATATATATTTAACTTAGATAAATTATTATTAGATTAATGATTATGAGATGAGTAGAACAATTCCAAATCAACAAATCCTTGCAAAGCTTGAAAGAGTCTTGGGTGTTAAATTACGTGGTAAAAATGGTGAGTAAATTAACAATCATCAATAATAGTGTTATTAAATCTATTATTTATTTATATTTTTTTAATTATATAGTCGGAGAATCATTCCGTTAATAATGTAATTTATCAAGACAATTTAATGAATATCTAAAAAAAAAAACCAATGAAATGAGAGAAAGAAGGGGAGAAGAGTATAAAAGAAATAACAATGAGAAATTTTTTTTTTAAATATGTATAAATTAGATTAGTTACAATTATTTATTACTTTTATTGAAAGAATTTTAAGGGTTCATATTTTATGTTCAACTTTTAATTTTATAAAATTTGGAAATAAAAACCATTAGCATATAAATGCTGAAGCTCCCATCCACATTGATATTTAATTTGTTTATTCCAACAAAAAACCAATTATCAACATCAACATCCTCAATATTAGAAAGTTTCCAACAAAAAAATTATTTAATGAAATACAAAAAGCGCAATTCAATAGTGTGATATAAGGATAAACTTTGATGTTGTATTAACAACAGGTACTACAGGATTTGTGCCTTTACTGAATAAAGAAAACATTATTTGCAACTTTAAGTAGGCCATACTTGGTGAAACAATTGTCATAACATTACCTGATAGCCCTAAAGCTGTAAACTTACCTCATGCAATCGATTAGTTAAAGGTGATACTGGTGATAATGTTCATGCAAAATTACTGGTAGTGTTACATGTTCGCTGACTGATAATAATAGAATGAAAATTGCACCAATAACACACAAACACCAGAATATTTGATAGTTATAATTCTAAAAGGCACTGATCGTCTTAAATGAGATTTCGAACCCATATGTGAAGCATGTTTGGATCCTATATTAAAGTAATTTATTAAATTTTCTTTGATTGATATAGATATGATTGTTTTTATTATTAAATTATTGAACAATTTACTAACCATTTCTAATTAACCAGACATTTGAGATTACCTGTACTTGTTAAAAAGAAAGATCCAGAAAAGAAAGATTGAATGGCTTAAACATTCTATTTAGTAGTAATATAAAATTATTCTAAAATCATGTACATATTTTGGAGATGTTGACCATCCCCTCGTGGAGTTTAACATTATACTATTTCAATTAAGATTAAATGAGTTCAAAGAACTCATCAAGGCAATTGATTTGAAGTGGTATAGTCTATCTATGAAAACCCAGTTGCTGAATTGATTAGTCGTTGCTCTTGAGGTAAAAATATTATTATTAGAATAAAATTATACAGGCATATAAATCCATCATTTTCATACCCTCACTTTTATCTATCATAATAGATGTTTGATATACACAAAAGAAACTACAAAGGTTAAATATACAAAAAAGAACACTATGTAGTGATAAATAGTCATCACAACTTGCATGAAGAATATGATATGTTTACCATGGATGATATATATAATAAACGAAATGAAAAAGTAAGCATATAACTGACTGACAACTTATTAATTGTTTGTTTTAGAAATTTATGAATAAGTTGAGGGTTTTTTAATTGATAATAGAAAAATATTCATCTTTTATAACACTTCGAAATGGTTATAATGAATCAGAAAATGTTGTAATATAGGTTGTACCTATAATTTAATGATCCTAAATATATAATATATAATATAATCATATATATTAATATATTATAGAAGTTTACATTGCCAAGGATGTAGTTGTACCTTCACATGTAGTCAAATTAGCAGGATTTAAGATAAGCTTTACAAAAAGAAGGTAAGATACACACCACTTCTATGCCATTTCATGATATATGACAAATGTTAGATGATGAATCCCTATATTAACATCTGGTCACTAATATTAATATCTCCATATTTTTATATGTATCTTATTAACAATTGTCGCAACAAATGCCACAAAGATTACAACAGCTACACAGCACTAGGATCACCTCAAGCAAACCCAAATCCGCAAATTTACAACAGAAACCTGTGACAATTAATACAACTTTGCCCCAACAATTGTTACAAAAACAATTCAATAATGTTATTATTAATCAACAAGGGAAAAGTATAAACTTACTCAACGACAACTTTGACCAGTAGTTTTAGCATTAATTAATAATGGTACCAATACTGGAGAACAACAAACAGAACCATCACTACGACTATCCCACTTCAATAAATTAGGAAATATATATATACAGACACATAACACATTGTTTGGTATTGTTGATTAATTACTCCAACAGTTTTTATTTTTTATTTTTTTTACCTTATATATCTGGAATCAATACTCTGAGCATTAGCTCAATTTTACAATATATTATAAACAAATAAATTTTTTTAAATATATTTTATATATACAGTATATAAGAAAATTTTTTGATATTAAACCAAATCATGCCCTAATTTTGTGTCTTGACAATGGGATAATCAATATTCAGAAACACCTCACAACTAATTTTCTCACTTTTTTTTCTTATCGTCATCATTGTCATCACCATTGTTGTCGTTGTTGTTGTTGTTATAAATAGATTCAAGTTTAAAGGTTTCAATTATTGATTTCTAATAATGTTTTTAAAATAAATATATTTGTCAAAAAAGTTAATTTATTTATTTATTTTTTTTGTTTATATGCAAAAGAAAAAAAATTTACCATGTCTCGACCCCAACCTAATCTATCCCAAGTAACTTTAATATTTTTAATTAATGGACTTTTAACTTGTTTCATTTGATCATTTTGATTTATAATAGTGTCAGGATCTTGAGGCAATCTACTAATTAAATCTCCATTTTTTAATAATAGTAAAGTTGGTATATCGAAATTTGATGGTGACAATGATATATTATATTCGTCTGCTACCGATGGATACTTCTCTAGATCAATCTTTGCAAAGTTTATATTTCTTTTGGTATATCTATATAAACATATAAACACATTATTATATTAATATGTAAAGGAAAAGAGAAAAATCATTTGTTTTAAAAACTTACTTTAAGGAAGTTTCAGCAACAACTGGTTCAAAATTTCTACAAACATTGCTCCATGATACATAACAAAATATTATCCAGTATTCCTCATTTTCCCCTTCCTCTTCTTCAATCTTATTTTTCTTTTTCCTTAATTTACTACTTTGAGATGCTTCTTGTTTTCCATCTTGATCCTCATCCTCTTCCTCATCATCTAAATCGCTCTTCTTCTTTCCTTTCTCATCTTTTCCATCATCCTCAACATCATCTTTGTTATCAAATCTTTTTATTTTCTTGTTAAATTGAATCTTATTTAAATCTTCTTCAGTTATTTCGATAATTTTAGATGATCCTTGATAAGATGGTTGTGGTAATACTACATATAAAACTACATACACAAAGTAATTGGTTAATTGAAAATCTAAAAAAACCTCAGAGAATATAATTAATTAAATATAATACAAACCAAACCAACTAATAATATAAAGTATAGATAGATAAAATTTTCCATATAAACTAAACATTATTAAATTAAACAATTTTCCATATATAAATGTAATAGATAAAAACTCTTCTAAACTTCCTGTTGTTTTATATTTTAATGATATCAAAAATGTAAAAATCATATAAATTCTTTTCTCCGGTAGCTAAAACAACATAATCAATAATCAATTAATAAAACAAAATATAATTGAAAACATAGTGACTTTAAAAGGTTTCTTGTTACCTCGATACTAATATCTAAATAATCATACGGTAGAATATAACGGATAATCAAGTATGGTAATATGAAAAGTAAATTTGCAACATAATGAGGTAAGAAAAGTCTTTGTTTAAATTCTTTCAACATTTTATTTAACTTTGAAAAAAAAAATATATATATTTGAACAAAATATTTGGGGATGAATACTGGTGAACATTATTAATATTGAAATTTCAGGGTTAAATTATTACATGATTTATTGTTATATAAAATGAGAAATCCCGATTTTTTGTAGGAGAGTAATATTAAACGGGACTGGAACATGTTGCAACAAATGAATATGTATTACTATTATTATTATTATTATTATTATGTCTCCGATAAATTTCAGGGTTCAAGTTGCTTAGCATCACCATAATAATAAAAAAAAATTGATTTTTGTTGGAAATAAACCTTTATAGGAACAAAGCAAGCAAAACATCACAATCGATCCAAGTATAAGCATAAGAGTTATCCATAAAAACAACATTAATTCACTCATCTTCACGTAAAAAAATCAAACTACAAAATCTATTTCGATAACTATAATGTATAGTTTTTTAAAAAAAAATCCAACAAAATGCTTGCCTTATTGCTGATGGATTATTTTTGCTTTTTACCCTTAAAAAAATTTGTGCATGCCCCATTTGATATTTGGGAATTATATAAATTCACAGGGCGATAAATTGCAATTTGCCTTCCTGGACAAAATTTTGTTGCCACCACCAAAATAAAGTAAAGAATTATTATGAATAGAAGATTGTTAGTTTTCTAAAAATCGATCAGGATTAAAAACTTTTGGATCTTTCCAGTGAAGTGGATTCATATGAACACCTTGGACATTTATTAAGAATTGAGTTGATTTTGGAAATCGGTAATTTGCTATTTGTTCAGGTTTTGAGGAATAACTGATACTGTGGGCATAAATCTTGATACTATCAAAGAAAAAAAATCAAAACAAAAAAATTAATTGAGAAAGGGATGAAAGAAAAGAAAGAAAAGAAAGACAATGATGATAAAAAATAGTGTATTATCCACATTCTTTTGTAATTGCTTCACAATAATGAAGTTTATGTGAATCATAATAATTTATCATAGAATCAACATCTTTGCCAATGATATTTTCAATTTCTTGCAGCATTTTTGTTTGACATTTGGATAATGTGAAATATAATAAATTATATAACAAAATGTATTTGAAGTCTTGAATAAAATTAAAAATATTTGATAAATAAATAAATAAATAAATAAATAAATTGTTTGACAAATAAATAAATAAATATTTAGATATGAACACATATGGTTTTTTTTGTCACGGTCGCGTTTACTTCGTCGAAAATTATTTCGACAATCATTTCGTCGACACCCATTTCGTCGAAAGTTTGTTGTAAAGGTAGTTGCAATCAGCAATTACAATCATTTTTATATGATGCAAAGGTGGTAGCAACCATCATCAAAAGTTGCAGCCGATATCCTTACTTTTGTCCCATCTTTTATCTCTAAAGGTGATATGATATGACCACAAGTATCTATGTTATTGATCACTTCAAGATCCTCCAACACAAAGGAATATGAATCTACTTTTTCATTTGTGAGTTTAACAAATGCTTGTCAATGAGATCATCAGATGTCACTTTATAAATTATTAAATAAAAATTTGTTAGCAATCTAAATAAAAAATTTAGTTGAAATGAAAAGCAAAAAACCAAAGGTCAGTGAATTTTGATAATTACTTCATTGAGCCATGAAACATAGTTCACTCTTATGTCAAACCATCCTAATTCCACAATATGCTTATCAACAAATAGAATAAATGATGTAAATTTGTTGTGATTAAATGCATCTGAACAAAGCTTCCAGAATATATTGATATCCTCACTATTCACATTTCCATATAAACTAAACATTATTAAATTATCCATATATAAATGTAATAGATAAAATTAATAAAACAAAATATAATTGAAAACATAGTGACTTTAAAAGGTTTCTTGTTACCTCGATACTAATATCTAAATAATCATACGGTAGAATATAACGGATAATCAAGTATGGTAATATGAAAAGTAAATTTGCAACATAATGAGGTAAGAAAAGTCTTTGTTTAAATTCTTTCAACATTTTATTTAACTTTGAAAAAAAAAAATATATATTTGAAAATATTTGGGGATGAATACTGGTGAACGTTATTAATATTGAAATTTAAGGTTGTACAAAATGAGAAATCCCGATTTTTTGTAGGAGAGTACCACATTTTGTCGTAATTAATTGCAACATTTTGTCCAGCATGGCGTGCCATAGAGTAATATTAAATGGGACTGGAATATACATGTCGTCAAAATTAAAAGTCGTGTGACGCAATTAGTTTAGTGTGAGACGCATTGACGCAGACGCAAGACGC